CAAAAAAAAAAAAAAAAAAACCCTCCCGGAAGCTAAGACACAGAACACTGGGTTCTTTTTATTTGACCCTCTATCCTGCATAAACTCACTCTGTAGTGCCTCTTCCTCAGCCTTAAATATGTTCAGGTCAAAAAAAAAAAAAAAAAAAAAAAACTCTCTCAGGGTGCCCAGAGGTCTTTACCACCTGCTTTTGGGTGAAATAGACCTATGACGTGGAGGAGGGAACTTGTGCAACAAATCTAAAAATACATGTGCTACCATTTGCAATGCTTGTACATAGTGTATCTAGGTGGAGCCCCTCTTGGACCATAGAAAACAACTCACTTTTTTTTTTTAACTTGGATTATCATGGTCGACATCACAAATCCCGGAAAATAAAGAGCTCTAGGCAGCTTCTACCCAGGGCAGTAGCTGAACACAGCTTTTTATAAATTCCCTAATGCTTCGCTTATTTTCCCTTCATGTTGTTTTTAGTACAAATGAACAGTAAACAAACAAAGTCAGGAAGCACTTAAATAAACAAGAAACCTGTGTTACAATGATAATTTTCACCATCTCAACAACTGGAACACATAGAGCCAGATTTGGAGATTATCCTGGACTTGAACCTCTGCTTGTGTGTATCCAAGACAGAGTAACTGAGCACAGAGCTGGATATCTATCATAAAAGACACTGATCCTCAAATGCTTTGTTGCTCAGCTCAAAATGAAATTAAAGGAAATGGATATCCTTGGTCATCTGGGAATGTCACACCAATCACAAGGAAACTGCTTGGGAGAAGAGCCTGGTTTGAAGCAAGATCAACGGTTAACTTCAAGTCACCAGATTTTAAACATCTAAACATAATCCCTGTTTAAGAAGATGATTGGATAGAGTGCTATATGGAAGTTAGGTAAGAAAAGCTAAAAGCACCTATACTTTGTAAGGTTATTGTTAATAACCGTAAGCTAAATGAGATCAAACTGATGATCCCGTTTAATCTTCTCAACAACCTGAGGAGGAAAGTACTTTTATTATCCCCATTTTACAGGTGAGAAGACTGAGGCTTAAGGAAGTTAACTAAACTATAGAAGCTCATATAATATTAAGCAGCAGAGCCAGAATTTGAACCAGGGTCTTTCTGGCCAGAAGGTTCATGCGTTTATTGATATACTGACTCCTAATTTCCAAATCAGAACCATTATTTAAAAATTTTAACTGATGTTTAAAATACAGATAGCTCTAAAAGTTATGAAAAATGACCTATTCAAATAGAACTTGGATATTTATCAAGGAATTCTCATAAAAAGGAAACTTCATAGCAGTTTAGCAAAATGGCTTTTAAGAAATTCTAAAATATATGTGAATCGTATGAAATTAAAGGGAAATGGTAGACACGGGAAGAAAAGAAAAGGATGTGGAGTTACCTAAGGTATTTCTCAATAAAGAATTACACCAGTGGTAACTGAATCATAGGCTTAACTTTCAGCACAGAGAAAATGACCAAAGCCAAAGCTTTGAACATTTGCTTCGAAAGTGTGCCATTTATTCCATACCCTCTGTCTCAGAAATTGTGGCACTCACCTCTCTCTGAAAAAAATTCCAAGCATGAGTAAGCCACCGGTATCTAGGTAAGCCATAATTTGTCATTCTGGCTTTCAACGTGACCATGTCTGACCACTGTACTGGAACCTGGAGAAAAAAACAAAAAATCAACAACTGTAACACACAAACACACACATTGAGACATACATACATTCAGATATTCACAAACACAATCACTCATAGATTCAAACACATACACATACTTAGAATGTACTGCAATCAACAAATACTATTTTAAATTTGTATTTATTTGTGGCCTAAATTAAGCTCAGGGTTACTAAATACTTGTTGAACAATCTCTATGTGTAGATTTTCATACTAATGAGGCAGTACTTCATACTAAGCAAAAAAAATGCAAAATCATTTAATGTCACTATCAGGCTCAAGGAAATCACAAAACAGGCTCAAGGAAAATAGTTTATATATGTAAACTATATATATATATACACATCTTAGATACACCTGAAGAGCTCCTGGTAACAAATGCTCTTGCAGAGAAATGCCCTCTGATTTGATGTCATAATGCTATAAAGTTGTTCTTGGAAGTCACTGCAGATTATGGTACTAAAATAAAGGGAGAAGAATTGAGAAGGCAAAGTGTTCAAGTCAAGCCTCACTCTAGAATAAGTCCATAAATACCTTTTCTAAACTGGATTTTGGAGACATGCTAGAATTTTAGAGAGAATAGTTCTCGAATTAAAGTGTTTTTTGTGCTTCTATTCTCCGGTCACCTAGCACCATCTCCCTTAACAGAGTGTTGAGTCATGACAGAGCTTCAGGTACACAACACAACAGATGGCCAGAAATCCTAGCAGCGTATCATGCTGTGTTTTGTCTACACTGCCAAGGGGGGAACTTGAGGCGTACAAACCCTAGTCTCACCACACGTGTGGTATTACCTTTGGAATATGTAATTGGGAGACTGGACAGACATCCACATCCAATCTACGAAGTAATACAGACCAGGCTTAGTTAAGCAAGCTTGACACTAACTCAAGGTTAGAATTATTCTGAAATCTTATTTTAAAAAATAGTAATATCGATAAAAGTAGTTTAAAAATGCCTGACCACAGAAATTCTTCATTTTTTTCCTTTGTTAATATTCTTTTTTGTTACTTGGAAATGCACAATAGAAAACACCTCAACACTTGGACACATAACTTTGTTCTCCAAATAATGAGCTGATTGGGTATGCTTTGTGTTCATATGATTTCAACAAAGTTTAGGGAACTAACTGAAGTTCAAGCTACTCACTACAAATTATTATCTCAAACCCTTTTGAGCATAAAATAAATGGAAGTGAAATTCTCTAGAAATTTATCATCTGAAGCAATATTATTGACAGATTTTTATCTAGAGAAGGAATAAGAAATAGGAGGTGAACATATATAAACAACAAAAATAAAGAAACAGACTGTCGATGTCAACTCTTGATTTGGTTATCAGAATAGTCTTATTTTTACTTTTATTTTCCAAAATAAGTATAAATTGTTTCTCCCTTGTGACCACAATCGATCTGAAACCAAATATGGCAAGAAAGAAAGGAGATCATTGAGGTTCTGGCACAAAATACTGTGATCTGGCAATGAAGAAAAACACACATTTATTGGCTCCTTGCATGGAACAGCTAAGAGCACAAAGCCCATTCTATGCGAAGGCTGAGTTCTGCAAAATTTGGCAGCTAATAAACTTTAATGGCACTTTTCATTCACACTGCTATTAGTGCAAAAGCAATAAAAAAAATTCTGACAAACTTTTTTTTTCTGAAGGACTACTTTCCACATTTCACTTTTAAACAGCCCTTGTTCTATCCTGGTGACTTAATGGGGAGGATTTACACAAGCAAACCAGTGATGTCTGCCCTCTACTGAAACGGCAGTGTGCACCCCTGTAGTACCACTGGGACACTGAGAAGATATTTGCAGTTCCCACCTTAACAGAAATGAAGAAAGTATCTAAACAAGTATAAATTGCTTTCCACTTGCTCAAGTTTCTTAGACTTGTATTAGAATCAAAACATTTCCTTTCAAATACCTTAAATTAATTCATTTTGAACTTGTTATAACCTAGGAGATTTATCAAATGTTAGTATGACATAAGCACTATACAAACCATTTTAAAAATCTACAGAAAGTGAACTCATTTCTAAAAACCTTTTAATTATCAAAAAGAACACAATCAAAAGCTGAGGTGAGAGGATCAAGAATTGATTACACAATTTACTATCTATTGCTTGAACGTCAGGGAGATACATGTATTTTTTTTTTTAAAGATTTTTATTTATTTTATTTTTTCCCCCCAAAGCCCCAGTGGATAGTTGTATGTCGTAGCTGCACATCCTTCTAGTTGCTGTATGCGGGACTCGGCCTCAGGATGAACGGAGAAGTGGTGCCTCGATGCGCACCCGGGATCCGAACCCGGGCCACCAGCATCGCAGCGCACGCACTTAACCACCAAGCCACAGGGCCGGCCCGATACATGTATTTTTTTAAAACAGAAAAAATTAAGAGGGACCATCTCTTTACCAGTAAAACACAGAAACTGAGTCCCTGGAACTAATTACTTTTTCACTCCCCTAAGTAAACAAAATTTCTAAGGATGGAGTGAAAATATGATTTTCAAAGACAGTAAGAGAATTTCTATTTGAATGGGAGATTTAGTTTTGAAGAAAGTTCTTAACTTTATATTAAACTGGTTAGAACCTGCCCTGATTTTTCAATAGAGAAAAAAAATAATCATAAAGTCTCTCTTCTTACTGAGAGTTGTCGTACATTGGAAGCATGAGTGCTTTCAGAAGGGTTCAGATGTGTGGCAGTGCCAAAGCATCGTTTACATGGAAATTGGAGTAAGCAGAGTACCCACTAGTCTGAATACCACTTAGTATTCAAAACAGTCTCACGGTACAGCGGCAAATTCACCGCAGAATCTTAAATAACTGCATCATGCCCAAAATGACTTCAATTTTCTTACACAGCTGCCGAAATGCCTCTCTGAAAGAAGCACAAAATCATCTCCCTCTCTTCTGAAGAGCTCTTAAAAATGTTGAAGACTCACCTGGGAACCCTGTCACAAGCGCAAATGCACAGTCCCTGCCCCCTCCCTCTGCCTTTCCTTCTGTTCTGATTTAGTAGATCTGGACTAGAACCCTATAATGCGCATTTTTAAGATTCACCCTCAGTGACTCCTGCTGTAGACAGTCCAAGGACTACATGTTGAAAAACATCATCTTCCTGAAACAGAATTACTCCACGACACTTACAGTGGAAAAACCTGGCCTGGCACCAGGAAAACAGCCAGCAGTCACAGACAGGCAAAGGTGCTCGACCTCATCGGTGATAAATGCACCAATTTTCACCAATGAAGTGAGCAAATAATAAATGAGTAATAATGCCCAACGTGAGCAGAGGTGAAGTGCAAGTGGTAAACCAAACATTTGACCAGACTGATCAAATCTAAAGACTGAGAAACTCTTATCCTTATTCATTCCAACATAGCTATAAAAGCTGTTCCAGCAGTCTCAATTGATAAAATGAAAGAGAAAAATGCTGAAGAGCTGTTTTCATGTAGCCAAGTCTCAGACTCTGAGAGTATTTCTAGACTGAGGTAAACACACGGCAACTCTTCAAATACACTTCTTAAAGTGGAAGATGGTTCCACGTGTCGCAAACAGAAGTGTGCTTCCTAGTCCTCAGTGTACAGCTGCAGGGAGCACTTTATAAGGCTGTCTTGTTGATTCTCAAGCTTTCTCAGATCCTGCTGCAAATGCGAAGGTTTCCTATTATATACTGAGAAGTTGGTAAAATTATTTTAAAGAACATACTATTTTTAGTCTATTATATCCACGTTTAAGCAATCTGTGGAATTAAAGACATGTAGTATACTAAATGAAATATTACAAATCATGCTTTGTAATCATGCTTTAGACAGAAAAAAATGTTATTTTTCAGAAGTATTGGAACGATTCATTGTTATCATATAGTATAAACATTCAAATTAATAATCGTGTGCCTAAATTACTCCAAAGTATCTGATTTAAGTGTCTGAACTGGATATTGTTTCAGATTGTGATTACATCCCATTTTGAACTCACCATAATTTCCTGCTCATATGTCCAAACACCACAAGCCAGCTCTACACAGAAAATGACAAGTAAACTTCCAAAGTACTGTAGAAGAACAGAAAATTAAGGCTGTTAGGATAGAATCAAAGTAAAATAGGCGCATCAGAGACAAGCCAAATACTATTCAGTGTTGTTTATCTGATGGACAAGAAAACAGAGGCACATAATCAAGAAGCTCCCTTGGGAGCAGACGGGAAGGATTTCAGCAAATTGAGAGACAGCTGCAGACAGCATTCAATACTCACCTAAGTGGGTCATTTCCATAGTGCTCTATTTATCAAGTACTTTCATAATTAATTCACTCAGGAACCTTGTGAAATGGATAGAACTGCCTCATTTCACAAATGAGAAAATTAATGCAAAAAATAGACAATATGACTTGCTCAAGAATGTTCATGGTAAATTCTAGAGGGTTAGATCATTGTGGCCCTATTCCTTGTGCTATACCTTGACACTTCTCCAGTGGTGGAGGAGACTTCACAGAAGTAAACAGTAAAAATGTGAGAAAGAATGGGCTCTCTGAAAGTTCTCCTCACTAATTCCAGCAGAAAAAAACACCACCACTGCTCTCATGAATCTTCCACTATGTTTATGGTGCCGGCTCAGAGTTGGGGTACCAGGCAGTGATGATTATTGATTATTCCCTTGCACGAGAATGACAGCTCCATTAAGGCAGGAACTTTGTGTTCCTCATTACAAAGTAGGTGCTCAATAAATATTTGTTACATAAAAGAATAAATGGAAACAAAGCAAAGCGATATGATAGTAAGAAACTGGGAGCTGCCTTGGACTGGGTGATCAGGAAAGGCCTCTTTATGAAGGTGACCTTTAAGATGAGTCAGTAATGACAAGGAGAAGGTAACGCTGATAAGACTTGTGGAAAAACAAGCCAGGAAGAGAAAATGTCAAGTGCAAGGCCACCTTTCAGGGTGAGCTAGTTAGTTAAGGACTCAGTGGTAACCAGAGCACAGAAGGGGGTGGGGTGGGTACAGGGAGTGCAAGCAGATGATGTTTGGAGGTGCACAGAGCCAGAGCTTCGTGGGCCATAGAAAGGATTTTGGATTGTATTGTAAGTGTAATCGAAATCCATTAGCAGTGACATGATTGGAAGTACATTATAAAAACATAATTCTGGCTGTTTTATGAAAAATGACCTGTAGGAAAGCAAGTGTATGACCAGGGCAACTACATAAAAGATTGCTGAACTAGGAGTGTAGCAGGGAAAGGGTTAAAATGGACTGATTTACGATTGTGAGCCACGGAGACTTGAACACTGAGTTTCTTCGCTCATAATTTTTGCCAAAAAAGGGGAGGGGGGAATAAAAGATACAGAAAATAGAGCAATTTTCCACTACTTCCGTGATATATCCCTTATGATTTAAAAATATAAATCACTGCTATTAGTTTTGATTTGTTTCTTTCATATAAAAAATAAAGAATACATAGCTGCATAGTCTCTCAGACAATAACATGGCATAAAAATAATAATTGGTTCAAAAGATAAAGTAACATTTTGTTAAAGGGATGCCATTGTACAAGCACTTTTATTTCCAATATATGTAGTACTCCTGGTCAACTTCAGTCTACTCAGATCTCACTTCCAAATGTTGCCTTACTTTAAAGATTTTAGCCTTGAAATGACGATTAGAAGAAATTTTGTGAACACAGGACTCCAAGTCAGTGTTTCTCCAACTCTCTTTAATGCTTTACTTAAGATGATTTCCAGACATGAACAATACTATAGTTTCACCTTATGTTGCAAAGAGACCAAATGTTCAGTAATTATATACTAGGTCAATTTTCTTATCTTTGATAAGACCCTACAAGAGAAGGAGACTCCAGAGAAACGGACTATGGGATACTTTTGCTTTCTCAGATGCCTAACCCAAATTCTTTTCAAAATTGATGTCTGGTTACAATGAAAACCAAAGCAGCCCTGAAAAGGCATACCTTTAAGATAACACATGGGCAGGGACAAGAATTATGTGTGCTGTTGCTAGAAAGAAAATAGCAGATACCCTGACTGCCTTGGGGGTAAACAACCATGTAGATTTCTGGATTGATTTTATATCCTTTTAAACCCCCCTTGAGTCATCTCTCCTGTTTCTTGTCTCCTGGAGTCACTGACCAGTTTAAGACGTCTGTGCTGTACCAGCAGAAAGGCCCCCAGCACAGGGCCAAGGGCAAGTGCCCAGATGTATGCAATACATGCAACACTTGAGTGACTCTGCTAGGCCTGCCGATCCAAACAACAGAGCAATAACTACAGGCATGACATCACCTTTGACTTTTTAAGTGAGCTTTACAATGGGCTAGCAATACCATAACTTAAGCCTGCCCAGGAATGCATATATATAAAGCATATACAGCTAAAACAATCTCTCAATACAAACTCAAAGCTTAGATTACCAATCATGGGAGGGAGGGGGTCCATTTTAGTTGGACACTCTTTTAATTCAGAAAACTCAAAAATGATTTTATGTTTCAGATTTCCAATGGTCTCATTTGATCTAAGTTCTCTCATATAAAACAATTCCTCTGTCTTTATTCCACTTATACTCAGGAGCACAGATTTACTTGAACTTCAGATTGAAAATACAAGTTTCATCAGCATTATAAAACATTCTTAGAACAAATTAAATCTAAAATTTAATTCAAATAAAATTTTTTTTTACAAATGATGCTGTAGTTTATGATCAGTTGTCTTGGCTTTGATGTCATTGTGTGAACCTCACACATCCAGTCTTCTAATTCCAAGGAAAACTTTAAATATCAAATCCATCTTCAATACAAACGTACATTGATCAACCCTGTTTACCCCTACATTTTCTTTTTCAGTGAGCTCTGAGTCCTAGATAAAGTCATCCTCATTTTGATTATTGCGCAGAGAATCAGTCTGCCACTATTTAGTTTAAGGGCTGGATCTGAGTGAGGCATCTGTAAAACATGGTGTTATTCCATAGTTTCAGCAGAACAAAACTAGCAAACAATTAAGCAACAGCTCCCATCGAATTTTTTTATGGTATGAAGTGTACATACATATCACATTTTACTACAAAACTCCCTGTTGTCTTCAACATTACTGGGAACATGTATATACCTTTCCTAATGGTGTCAGCATGTATCTCTCATGCTCTGACTTTCCCAATGCACATGGTTTGATGAGATGGCCTGTACCAATCTAGTTTACAGAGAAACTTGCTCCTCTCTTTTCCGTGAGTGCTGTCCTTTTAGAATGGTGAAAAGAGCTCTGAATTTGGAGTTGGAAGATTGAAGTTCGCACCCAGCTCTGAAACACACTCTCTGATCTTTGGCAAATCATTGAATTGCCCTGGCTTCAGTTTGCTCATCTGTATAATGATGATAAAAATAAAGACCTCTTCACTGTTATTGTCAAGGTTTATTTGATACATGTGAAAGTGGTTTGAAAAACTTTAAATTTTAAGTTTGTACAGCATTATACAAATGCTACTCTGAACTAGTTTGTGAAATACAACCCAACATTGACATGTCCTTTCTTCCTGGGCATAGCCTTCATTACCTGCAACATGCTGCAGTTTCTTCCTCATCATTGTTTTCCAGTATTTCATCTCTGGTTCTTTACCCATTTACTTTTCTCCTTCCCTCTGTGTATCAAAGCTTCCCTCTCTGCTGTACATCAGGCTTCAGAGGCTTCAGCTTTTAAACCAGTTGGCTGCCTCATCCGCAAGTCACAATGCTCACTTAACTGCCAGACCATCGGTTCTGGCTGGCAGGGATCTTGTTCTTAAACAGTATTTTATCCCCAGTTCCTGAACAGTACCTGTCCCACAGCAGGTATTCAATAAATGTCAGTGGAAATAATGATCAGCTTACCAACTAAAGAGGCCAATTTCAGGTTTCCTAGAGATTCTCTGACTAATTTAACACTAAGTTTCTTGTTAACATTTGATTCCCCTTGACTTCTGCTTCCACATTTCTATTTTAAATATTGCCTCTTTGTTTTACCACTGTCTTTTTTGTGGATGATTCTATGATAATCCAGTGTGCCTTTAGACATTTCAGACAATTTACACAGCTAAAGAAAAAGAACAATATGCAGACTCTCCCCATCTTTCTGAGCTACTAACAACTAAACATTTTAAAGAAATGAAGAATGGGAAAGTGTGTGTTTATACAAGGAAATTGGAATGCAATTATTTGCATGACAAACTATTTTATTTGCTTTAAAAATTATTCAGTACAGAGTTCCTTAAAACAGGTAAGTTCCTCTAATGCAATTAAACTAAAATTTGTGTTCTACGAATACATTTTATCCATAAACATATGTTCATGAAAAAACTGCATCAAGTAAGGCAAGTTGGTGATAGGAGACACCCCCAAAATGATGTAATCAATTAGTGATTTTTTTCACCAAATCTCTCAAGCTAAGAATAATTACCTTTCAGTTCAAAAATGAGTGCCCTCACTGGGTTAGACAAAAGAAGATTAGACAAAACATTGTATGTGAAATTGCTTTGTTGACTGCTTTTTTTTAAACTATACAGATGGGAAGAACATGGGCTTTGAATAAAATAGACCAGGCTTGAGATTTTGGCTCCTTTACATACCAGTTGGATGACGTTGGGCAAACCAGTAAGCCTCAGTTTCCTCATCCATAAAATGAGAATGTTAAAATTATCTTGCAGGGTTGTGCTAAGGATTCAATCAGGGAAAGTGCTGTTGCATAGTAAGCGCGACCTAAACGGTAGCCATTATTAACCACACCATAGTATCTATCAGAATGTAAACTCCATGAGGACAAGAAGTGTCATTAAATTTTAAACACTTAACATACTGCCTGGCATAGAGCACGTACTCAATGCATATTTCTTGACTAGATGTAACTAAGATTGGAGGATGACAGTGAGTGAAACTGTTCATCTCCTCCTACAACTATCAGGGTCACTCTCAGTAAAGGACATCTAATCTCACAAGCTATTTGATAAAATCTTTAGTAAAATCCCTGTCCAGTGAGAATATAGCTGGTATTTTTCAAAACATCTTTATTAGGAAACTGAAGCAGG